GTGGAGTTGTTATTTTTTATAAAGGGTCGTAAGAATTTGAAAATTTCGTCGTCTGATTGTCTGTTAATAAATTTGAAAATATGTCTAGTTTTACCTGGGAATGTTTTTTCGCAATGATGTGTATTTAATTTATTTGATTCATTTTCCGAAATTAAAAATTGGTGATTAAAAAGATTCAAAACGTTGTCCGTATATTTGATTTCTAGAATAGGATTAGATTGAGAAGTATGGATAGTCTGAGAGTCGTTTTCGGCTATTTGCTCGAAGTCTTTTAATAGGGATTCGTATACTTCGCGATTGGTGTCATTCAGGATGTCTTCGAGAGGTATTTGTAGTAGATTGTCTAAGTCTGGGTCTGATTCGTCAATTTGGGCTATCATGGAATTCATATCGTCAGTTTCTATAGCATTCAGTCTTATAATAATAATAATAATAATAATAATAATAATAATAATAATAATAATAATTTATATTGATATTTACATCAATATCAAATGTTCACAATGTTCATTCATTAGCACTAGTTAATAGTTAATGAACAGTTACAATAATTAATACCTACTCTATTTTTGTTGAGTATATTTTGTCCGGAAGATAAAAAAAAAGTATATATAGTATACCTACAACAAACTATAGTATTTCTAAGCGAAAAGAAGACCAAAGTTGAAGCAAAACAAAAGGCCGACAATGAAAAATGAAAATACCAGGAAGATTGTTTATGAAACCGAAAACAAGACTTACTATAACATCAGAAGAAAGGAACACTGAAATTGAGGCAAAATAGAAGGCCAACAATGAAAACAGGAAGAAGAGTGAGAACACGACCGAAAATGGGAATGATGATGGAATTGGAAATAAGACCGAAGTTGAAGTCAAGATGGAGACGTACGGCGAAAGCGGAAAGAAAACTGAAGATGATACTGAATAAAAGGCCAATAATGAGGATAGAAGGAAGACTGGAAACGAAAACGAAAAACAGACTGTATATGAAGCTGATGTGTGGAACAAGCATCTTAACTGGCCCAGAGGGAGGTGTAACAAAAATAAAAGCAAATTACAAACTCTAATGCCTTTTGAGTTGATTTTTAGGAAATGGGAAGAATATTACGACAGCTAAGACAAAAGCAAAATTAGTAAACTAGAAGAAATAAATAATACAAAGGAAGAATGAAAATGAGGATCCGAAGAATAGAAAAATAAAACAAAGTAGAGATTTTGCAACAGTCAAAATAGGTGAAAGAGGGAATGTCAACATTTAACTAATACATATCACAACCAACAATAAAGGAAAAGAATAAAAAATTCCGGTGAACGTTTACAAATTTGGTTGAAACGGCTACTGAAAAATTATGGAAATGGCTTCAAACTGTGGATAAAAGAAATAATTCAAGAGGATTTTATGACTAATAGTGAATGCAATAATTATTATTCTGTCCCTTAAAAATAGAAACTGTGTAAAAATAATTTTTTACGTGTAATAGTATATTACGTAATAAATGTTGTAAAAAGCATTTTACGCACGAATGGAAAAGTTACGCACGACGCCGCGTAGCGGCGAGTGCGTAATTCTATGAGTGCGTAATTGCATTACACCACGTATTACGTACTATACTTTACCTACGACCACTACTTTAAATACTTAAAATTCCTATTACGTCGTACGGTAAAAAAATGGCACAGCTTGGTAAAAAAATCGTACAGTTTTCCTACCAACCGCCTAGCGACGGTCAATACAAACACAAACAGTATTGTATTGACCGTTGCTAGGCGGTTGCTTGGAAAACTGTGCGATTTTTTTACCGTACGTAATAGGAGTCTTACATTGATTGCAGATGGTGTGTTTTTAAGTATTTACAGTAGTGGTCGTAGGTAAAATAATAAAATTCTAGCAGCAATTCATTTATTGGTGATTTTGCCGTAGGATGAAAATGAGGAGGAAAGGAGAAGACATCAAGAGTTTGAGTGTTTACCATTTACAAGTGGTGAACAAGACGCCACCTTTTTCGATTACGCTGACGAAATATTAACGGACGCAAAGAAGCGGGGTAGATCCACATATCCTATAGAAAAAGCGGTTTTGGTAAGGCCTACTGCTCAGTGCCAGAATGTTATTGATATTTTTAATACAATTTTCAATTTCTAGGAATACAAGAAAATTAATAATATATTAGCTAAAAATATAGAGTGCAGTAATGGTGATGACGTAAAAAAAAGTTTTTCAGTGGACGCAATAAAGAGGAGTATTAAAGATAGAAGTTGTAGATGTATCACTCGCAAAAAATAAACATGAATCATTTTACTGCATCTTTAAATCTCTCTCTCTTAAATTTTGAAACATTAAAATAAATTATGTACCTATAGTCATGTTTTAACGTGGGTCTCAATGGACTATTTGTTAATTTGTTATCTTTTCCTCCTATTTTACCTTTACTAAATTCAGTGAATTTTGACTTAAAGCACTAATAATAATTTAATTTATTTACGTCAAACAATTCAGATATATTTGCTTGGATGATATATTTTTTAAAAACTTGAACGCCCTACATCATGTCCAAAAACGAAACATTTTCCGACCAATATTTATTTCAACGTTTCCTTATACATATTCCTGTATTATGTATGTTGACGAACTCTACGTTTTCTGGGAATTTAAAAATACCGCCACAATGACAGATCCACAGAAGGGCAAATAATCTACTTACTTTTCTTTAACATGATCGATTTACTTTTGTTCGCAGTTCGCAGTAACAGTTGTTGATCTTGAAAATTTTTTATAAACTATAATAATTCTAAGGAAATAATAATATACTCCAATACTTGAAGAATGGTGATGTTTTGAATAGATGAGAATTATATAGTTAGCATTTTGCACTTATAAGAATTATATACTTTGCAAACAATAGTAACATGGCCGGCTTTGTAATTATTTTGCTCTCTAGTGATTGTGTCTAAAAACCGTGTAAACAAACATATAATATTGCTTTATTTCAGTTGTATTTATTATATTTAAAAGTGTTCATTTGCATTTAACATGCAATAGTTGTGTTACGGATTAATAATTTAATAATCATTTTATTTTCAATTGCATTGATTTTTATGACCCAACATGGCCCAGGAAGGAAATTCAAATTCGGACGTATTTTATGTTAAAATGGAAGCTGACAGTATGAAACCTGTGAAAACAGAGCCTGCTTATAAAATTAAACTAGAGAGTGATATAACAGACAAAATTAATTTGAAAGGAGAACTTAAGAATGAGCCAGGAGACAGCTGCCAAAATTCATCTCCTGCAGATTCTGAAATGAAATTTAATAGAAGTTGTGAAACAAATAGTGTAAATCATGAAAAAATAGACTCTAGCGAAGTCAATGAAATAGAAAAATTATTAGTGAAAGAGGAAGTAGAGAATGATTATGACGAAAATTTCGAATTATCTCAATCAGATATTGAAAAAGAGTTTGAAGCATTTAATAATGAAGATGAAAAGACTAATAGTGGGAAAACTACTTTAGAAAACAATACCACTGCTTATAAATGTCAAATGTGCGATGAAATTTTTATAAAATTTCCTGACTATAAAGCCCATAAGAAGTTGCATTTTATAGAGAAACGCAGGTACCTATGTTGACAATAGATAGTGTTAAAACTGTATATAAAGAAAAACTGTAATGAAAGAACTTAATTTCATGTTTTTTGCACATTTTCTATGTATTTAAAGAGGAGACTTCATTTTTTAACCACCTTAAGACATATTTAAAAAAACGGTACAACTAATTTATTTACATTTCAGATGCCCAAAGTGTAATATAGTTTGTCAAAGTATTGGTAAGCTACAGGACCATCTAAACAAACATTTAGGTTTGAAACCGTTTAACTGTGATGAATGTGGTAAATCGTTTATTTCAAAACATCATGTAAAATTACATAAAAGATGTCATAATAAAGAAAAATCGTATAAATGTACAAAATGTGATAAAGCATTTAGAAACAGAGGTTCGTTAAGAAGCCACCAACTTGTGCACCAAGAAAAAATTAAAGAATTCATTTGTAAGGTAAGGTCAAAAATCATTATTAATTTGTATGTGAATCGGTAAATGTAAAGAAAAATTCAATATCAAGAAATTGTTACATGTTTATATAGTGAAAGTGCAATACCTTCTTTATACATTAATCCCTCGATTAATCCAATAGTGTTGTAAAGTACTATAGCTATGTTGTTTTTTATTTGAAATACAAAAAAGTTGTATTTTGGTATTTAAAAGAAAAATGAAGTGAAGTATGATGGTGTGGAGGTCATAACATTAATTTTTTAAATGGAATGCCTTCAGCAATACTTAATACCTTTGTAATCATTTTCAAATTGTAATAGAACTATTTGAGCTAATTTTGGAGATATCATACTTTTTTGATAAAAATTGCCAAAATAGCATGGCCATCCACTGTTAAAATTGTGACTACAATATCATTAAAATTGTATCTAGTTTTATAATAGAGTCTAGCTTACTTAAGTATTTGAATTTAATTTAGTAATTCACAAAAACAGAGCAATTTATTAACAGTTAACGAGAAGTACAAAAACATGTTTGTATATAATAAGACTATTAAATAAATAAATTTCATTTGAAATATTAGAAAATATGTGGTTTGGTAACATTTATCTTTCATACTGTACTTACTGTTTATTGCATAAAATTTAACAAATTTTCGAATTTCCTAAAGAGTTTGGCAGCATTGCAGCTGAATATAAAACTATTTGCCTCACCATATGTAGAATTTTATGCAGAATTGAAATTATACAAAGGTAGATAGGGCGTTCATTCCATTAAAAAAAAATTAATATACTATCCGTCACATATATAAATAAATAATTATAAAATACAATACTCTTTTGATATCCTTTAACTCTTTTGAACACTTTTTTTGTATCTCGAATAATAAGCTATTGATAATTATTAAGTAATGAATCATATTTAATAGACCCTAAAAAGACCCGTAAGTGTAAAATTTCTGAAAAATATATAATTTGTATTAGGAATATAGTATTAAAATGTACAAAAATACAGAACCCCAAACAAATCAAAATTTCCCATTTACAAATTAAATTTCAAGATCTGTGTTAGTAAAAGTTTTAGTTTCAATTCAAAAAATCAAATGACAAGTCAGAAAAACATAATTGTGAGCTTATGTCGGAAAAATGAAATGTACAGTCTGACTTTTTAAATTACAAATTACAAAATTTCATTTTTATAGCAGTTTATAGATTATTGAAATCAAGAGGCAAATGCGTTTATAATTGTGTACACCAGAATTCCTCAAAGGAATTCTCCTGATTTCCTCCATGTATTTCTCCGATTTCCTTTGACTTGCTTCTGAATTGCTTTTGAATTCCTCTAACTTCAGTTGAAATAACATTTTTCTGTTTTGTAACTTGCAAATTTCGATTTATACCTACCTACTATATTTTCCAATTTAAAATGGACTTACTTAATTTTGAAATTGGTATTATATTTCTTCAACTTACCAAATCAGTCTTATGAAACAGAAATCAAAATCATATTTTTCTTGTAACTCGGAAATTAGGCACAACGTGTAATTGGTGGCCCTTCTATGCTTTGTAAAAATATACTTATATGTTCTTATCAAAAAATTTTTTAAGATATGTAGTGAAGATTGCCAAAACCTTCCAGACTTTAGGAAACACATGGAAGGACATGGTAAAAAATCCGAGATCAAATGTGGACTTTGTAATAAAACATTTAATAGCGATCGAGGATTGGAATACCATATTAGTTTTCACAAAGAACTGAAATTTCCTTGTGAGTACTGCGGAAGAATATATCCGTCAATGTATAGGATAAAACGACATATAAAGAGGGCCCACATTCCAAATGAATGTGATGAATGTAAAGAGGTAATTAATTGATTTTACGTTTCTTAGCTATGATGTTAAACAAATCACAAGCTATAAGTTGTTTTCTATTTTATAATTCTGAAAAATCTTATAATCAACTCAACTAGATTATTATTTGAAAACTATTCCATCCTTAAAAATTTGTGACTATCACTTTTCTTTAGGTTTTTTACGATCGAGCGCAGTTCACAAAACACAAAAAACAACACAATGAAGGCAAGCCTGTGGAATGCCAGTATTGTCAGAAAAAGTTTGACAAAGCAAAAAATTTAAGTGAACACATCAGGTTGCAACACAAGCAAGATGGAACTAAAAAGAAGTGCCACATTTGTGAAAAAGAATTCATTAACACAGCTCTCTTGAAAAACCATGTCAAAACCCATGACAAGTGCTTTAAATGCCCTCATTGTGATAAAGTATTTGCTTCCAGGTAAGTCTAATGCAAGAACTAATATTAAACTGTTATACAGAATGTTTACTAGTTCTATGTTATAACTTCAGGATGTCCTATAAAATAAAAAAAAACCTTAATCTTCCAGAACAGAATTTTTTAATTTTGTGGCACATGATATAGCTCTCTGAAGTACCTTCTTAATATAAAAAGTTTAATTTAGTATTAAAGTTTAATAAGTGTTACAACTGAGTTAATTAGTTGATAAAAAGTTTCGTTGAATGTCATTTGAAAAACCTCTAAACATAAAAGGTCTTTCTCGAACAAATAGACTAATGATATCGGGATACATTACGTTCCTATATAAAATGTACCACCAGAAAGTCTTCCATATGAAATGTGTCACTATTGTTCTAGCACAAAATAAGAAAACAAATTATAACGGTTCTAAATGTAAAAAGTTTATGTGCTTAGAACATTTAAAACTAATATGTTCTTGAATGAAATCGTTGTGCGACTTTCTCACAAATTTTTCAAATATTTAGAAAATAAAAGAAAACGTTTTACGTCAATTGAGACTTACTAAGACTGTAAAAACTGATTGATTTAGTCTTTGTACCAAAGAAAAACTTTTTTATGTTGCGATGTTCACAATAAATGTATTTTAGCAATGTAATCTTTTTATTGGTTATAAAGAAAATAATTAAGCCAAAAAAACATTCTGTTTCAAAAATAATGGTTTTTTTTTTTGTACTAGGTTTGTGAGACCCATGTTAACCTTTAGGACCTATTAACTTCTGTTAATCATGCACGGAATTATTAATAAAGCAATTAAAGTTCTAAAACAGTTGATTTGATGTACAGGGTTGAAATGGAAAAAAAGACATTCAAATAGCACTGAAGTTGTTTGGCATAAATTCATGAAACTTTATGTTTGGTAGACCAGCCACCTTCTTCTATGTGGTTTCATGTGATGGACATAAAATAAAGTTATAAGAATTGTGTTATCATGCCAGGATTTTTTCTGAAAATAAGTCAAAATAGCAAAAAATGTGGTGCTTATTTATGATAAAAAGCTATGTAGCTGACTACAACTGTACAGGGTGGTTGATTTTCTATAGTTTTATAGCGTACAGCCAAAACGGTAATAGATACAACATATCTGATATCGATGTCCCGTCCTCTTCTTTTGAGTTTATTTTGCTGGTAAATAAATCTCATGGCCAACTGAAAAAACATACATTTTTGCATTTTTCTTCAATTGGGCAAATAAAAAGTATCTATTAATATACCTATATGGCTGGAAAGGTAAAAAATAATGTTATTTAGCGGGATGGTCAAATACAGAGTGTTCTATTTAAAAAAACCTATGTAATATTGGAAAAACTGTGCTATTTCTAAAAAATCTGGCTTCCTCATAAAAAATAAAACAAATAATGTTATATACGTTAATAAACTAGGGTTATTTTGACCTCCCCTATACACTCCCGAGAGTATGCCGTATACTTATCAGATACCCTATATATCCACTGCCCCTCATCTCCCAACATTCCCCCACTCGACAGAGTACGCGCGCTCGGCCGTTTTTGAATATGTTTAGAGGACTTTTTCATCTATTTCACATCATTTTATCGGAAAATTAGTTTTGTAGTATTATACTTCTACTTTTAAAATCCGGCTGAAAAATTAAAATTGGATCACCTCCAACGCATCCAGAAACTTTGTACCAAAAATTTCAAATTGCAGTTGTGCCAAAACTGATGGTCCGACAGCGTGATACATCCAATACCTTAAGTCATCAAATTTTTTGAAGAGTTGCCTGGGCGCAATACCTGAAGAAGATACTCTTCTGCACTCTTCACTAAATCTTTTCCATATTTGCAAAATGCTATTCGTAACCACATGTATCACACCACTAGACAAAACAAACAAAAGGTTCGTGTTGGGCATCGCGCGTGATCGTACGGCACCCGAGACAAACAGTGTTGCCACATTTAGTATGACATTTAAAATATGGATAAATTTGCATTTTTATTTATTTTGAATTTTGTGACCTAGAATTCATTTTAGTTGCAGTTCATGGTAAAAATGATCAAATTAGACCTATGTTTATCATGTAAAAGGGCTTAAGAAAGAATTGGCCATTTTCAAGGGTGATAACTTGAAAAATCTCGCATCGTAAACCCTAAAATTGACTCTGCAAATGAGTTATCTCGTGGACCTATAAAAAATACAAAACAGTAGCTAGCGTCTGTTTTAAAACTTTTTTGCATGTCTGTGTAATGAAAAATGTAATATTCAGTTATAATATCACAAGAGCATAGAAAATATTCGATTATACTTCCGAGTCACGAGACGTATTCTGCGAAACACCACGACAGCGTAGCTGGAGTGGTGTTTTAAGGATATACGTCGAGTGAGGAGGTTAGTATAATCGAATATTTTCGTTTGCTCGAGTGGTATTCGATACGATTATATAATTCAGAGCTTGAACCGAAGGGTTACATTTTTTTTTTTTGACGTTTATTGACAAATGTTAAAACTATCGTTACCATGACAGTTCACATTGTTGGAGGAGGTGAAACACCAAAACGGTTATACCACGTCGTCAAGAGTATAATTGCTTATCAATACATAGTAACTACGTAAAATTTGTAATTGCTATTGGCTAAATTTCTAATGAATTATATAATCTTAGTAATACCATCGATAATACCATAGAAATTAATTATACTTATCCAATTTCCAAAATTGTGTGTGGAGATTCTTGAAATCTTAGTAATAGCCCAAGTTTAATCAATGCATTTTAAACATCCCTGCATTTTCCTGTTTTCTATATCTCAAAAACTGGTAGCTTTGAACCTCTGATTTTTCAAGATTTATTTTTTGAGAGAAAATTGTGAACACAAAATGAAGTTATGGTATAGATACAGAAACAGTGTATATTACTATTTTTTTAATTTTCTGTTAGATATAATCTCGAAACACATTCCGTAACACATTCTGGAGCAAGGGACCATAAATGCAACCTTTGTGGGAAAGGTTATTCGACAAAGAGTAGCTTAAAAAATCATATTGCCACCCATAGTGAAGAAAGATCATTCCAATGTGACCAGTGTGCGAAAACTTTCAAAACGAATCGTAGACTCTACGTTCATAAATTTTCTCATGCAACAGAAGAAAAGTTCCAATGTGAAATTTGCCTGCAAAAATTCAGGTATGTTGAATAATTGTTTTCCTAAATCATTTTTTTTTAATTAAATTTATAATGTTTTCAATTATTTCTTTAACGGGGTGTTACAAAAAAGTGAACATATTCTTCTCTCATTGTCATATTGTTTAGGCGAAAGTAATAGGATTTTCCTTATACCATTTTTCATTTAGGCACCTCTTTAAAGATTCACGGTATCAAGGTAGAAAAAATATTTAGGTAGAAGATAATCAATAGAAATTTTGTCATTGTTCATTGTAAATGAATCTTTAATATTGGTGACGACAACATTTAAGGAATTTTAGTTGACAGTACTAGCCGTGAAATGTTGGTTTTACAAGTTCGGCGGTCATGTGACTTGTAATCGTTGCTAAATGCTCTTTATATCTAATAGCTAATTATGAATAAGATTTCCACCTTTTTTTGTAGACAAAATTTGAACCATTATTTTATGTATGTTTGTAGAGTTAAACAGTACCTGAAGTACCATATGATAAAGCATTCTACTGTGAAACCGTATGAATGTGAGATATGCAAAAAGAGATTCAAACACAAAAAGTCTTATGAAAAACATATGAATCAGGGTAAACACAAAAAAACCGAAGTCGAACACGACTGCGATTTCTGTGATGAAAGCTTTCCCACTCGAGATCTACTTGTCGACCATTTTGCCGAAGTACATCACCAGGAGAATATTATTAATAATATAAGTGAGTGTGTAGGTATGGCTGATGAAAATGATGTGGAAGATGTTACGAATGAAGAGGAAAGTGATGTCAAAATTAAGGTAGAAAAAAGTGGTAACGTCGATGGGAAGGTTCAAGTTAAAAATGAGCCAGTGGATGTCTAACTTTTCCATTCTTAGTCTAAATTTTATAGAATTATTCAAAAATGCTTTCAATGAAATTATAACTAGTTTAGTTATCTTTCGGAATTGTTGGTTATTAGCCTATAGTAATTATTTTCTTTAGTAAATTGCAATTAACAAGAAATTGTGGTAAAGATAGAATATTTACATTGGCTTAAACTTTTACGGCACATTTTTTAAGAGGAATATGTTATGGCTAGAGTTTGACATTTTTTGTGCAAATAAAGTGGCGAGATAGCAATTATCAGACAGTAATAAAATATTGTGTAAAACAATATTGTTGAGTTGGAGTTCTTATGGGTGTAAATTGAAGATTGACCATCGAAAATATAAAACGAATCAATTCTTACAGCTGTCATACTGGGTTTTTTATAATATAACTTAATTTTTGTTCAGTGTGTGTGATATTCAAATGTCTGTGATTAATAATGAACAATTTTGATTATTTTAATATATTGTAAATTTTTTTTTATTTGGCACAGTTATGCAACAATTTACAAACTTCAATTAAATAGGCCTTTAAATCAATCTCAATTTTGGTCAACTTGCCTGAATTTTTGATATAAGTTAGTTTCAGGTATATAAATAACAATAAGTGACAGTAATTTTTTTCCAACCCTCAGCCAGGGGTGAAAAAAGATAAAATAATTTTTCAAGATAACTCAAAAGGGGTAAGGGATAGAAAAAGAAGTTTCTTATAAAAGTTGTAGAGCATAAAATTCTACATAAAAATGGTCTATTGACTAGAGACTAGAAGTGAAGGGATTTACTCTTAAAAATATAACCTATCTTTTTATAGAAATAGATATATTTTTTAATTTTTAATAAAAAAAAGTTATAACAATTTCACAAAGCAAACATGATTTTTTATCTTTGTCATAAAACAAAATTTTGAAAGCAACTTTTTGGCACGGCATAGAAAAAAATTGTTTGTGTTAAATCATAAAAATTAAGGATTAAAAATTTTAATTGTTTTAATTTTTTTATTAAAAATAAAAAAATACATCTATTTCTCTGAACAGAAAGTTTACATTTTTTAGAGTAGATAAAAAATAAATTATTAAATTCATTCATTTTTCTGCTTGTTTTTTTTTTTAATTTCTGAAATCATCCCATAACTTCTAGTCTCCCTAACTGTTAATTTTAATGGTATAAGAAAAAGTCAATATACCATTTTTATGTAGAATTTTATGCTCTACAACTTTTATACAAAACTTTTTTTTCTAGCTCTTACCCCTTTTGAGTTATTATGAAAAACCCTTTTATTTTTTCTTTTTTCACCCCTAGCCGGGGGTTGAAACAAAAATTACTGTCACTTATTGTTATTATATACTCCAAACTAACTTATATAAAAAATTCAGGCAAGTTGACCGAATTGCGATTTAAAGGTTCATTTAATTAGACTAATAACAAGATTACAACTTAACCGTCAAAAACTCGCTTTGCATATTCGCCCGTAAATAAATGTTCAAAGTACACTAGGGTGATTTTTGCTACAATATTTTACGTAGTTAATTTATTCTTAAATATCATAGTGGCGCTACTGACTTCACACGCAAATGTAAAACTCTAGTTATGGTACATCACAATTACTACTCAGGGCGTTACCACAGTATAGACAGATCTGTAGGGATAGCCATATGACTAAATAAATAAGACCCGTGAAAAGGATAGGATGAGCATAATCATGAAAGTACGAGTGCCATCTCACGGTCGTTATGCAAACACTGCCATCGTTAGCAATATTTATGTATTGAAAACTGTAACACTAACTTGAACTAACCTGAACAGAAAAGCAATGTTGGTATTAAAACCTATTACAGTTCCCTGGAAAAATTAAAAATATGATGATATTACATGCATCCTTTCGTGCTGAAGTTGAACAAACAGATTGCAATCGGTAATTAGGCATTTTTAAAATTCTTAATCATTATTGGTTCTTTACTGATTTCACTCACTTTGTTTTGTGGATTACGTTTGAGGTTACAATTTATTTCTTCTTTATGTTGTATTGTGACTAATTAACTCTGTAAGTTACCGCGCTAGTGCTTTTGATAATAATTGTTTTCTGTTTTCGACTAAAATTTATTGTAACGCAAGAAGATAATTGTAATTGTTGAATCGATCATCTGAATTGTCTTACTGCTTTTGCTTGTTTTACTTTTTAATAGAAAATGTCTGGAAGGAACACACATCACTGTTGTGCAACAAACTGCAAGAATACATTTTATTTATATACCACAGATATTTCTTACAAAAAAAAGCTTTTTCAAGAGTTACTGCAGACAGGGAAATGATTTGGATAGAATCAGTTTGCAAATTATGTAAAGCAGATTTTAACCTCGTCAACAAAAACTGTTTATTTTGCGAAGACCACTTTGAATTAAAATGTTTTAAAAATAATAAGAAGAATAGCCTCAACAAAAATGCGGTGCCAACAATATTTTGTGAATCAAATAGTATATCATCACACTTTGATTCTCTTAATAGTAACATTTACTTGAAAACTACTCTTACTAGTAATTATCTTTTCTTTTCCTATTTATAACAGAATAAAGGACCCCACCATAATCTTATGGAAAATGGCTTTCAGCGAAATCGTCTCAATTTTTGATATGAGATAGGTCTTATCAATCTGACCCAAAATTCCCAGTGGCCACAACCCCCTGTTAATGCCTTTTTTTACCTCTAGAGAGCGCTTTACCCCTCCTTTGTTTGCATAACGGGCGTAAGATGGCGCCATTTGCGTCTGGAGCAAATGGTGCTTCCTATGAAAGCCAACGAAATAAACCCTGTTATTTAGTTACTCGTATGGGGACAACGTGTTAATCTATGAAGAAATCCAGCACTCATTATTTGACCTTGTTATTTTAATTGAAAATAGCATCACTCCCAAATGTGAATGATTCTATCTTCACACTTGTCACAGCCGACATTTGTATGAGAAATCAGTGATTATCAAAATGTTGTAACAGTATGTGAGGTACTCAAAACATAAATCCAGTTTGGCAATTTCATTATACAATAAAAAAAATAAGTAATTTTTTGAAACACTAGATATTGCAATTCACGCTTATGATTGAGAATTTTTACTATATTATTGGACATTATTAAGTGGTTAGGGTAACACCACAAAACAATGAACAAGTATCCATAAAACATACAAGTAAATACTACGGATATTAAACGTAGACGTAGTATGACTGAATTCTGAAGTTGGCTTAGCGCGAAAGTATAACTGCCCTAGTGATTTATCTTTACTGTGGTATTGCAACAAAGATATAATTCTATGGTTATTCTATGACCAAAAATAAGTTTATGTGAACGTAGGCCTGCAACCCGTTTATTTTTAATATGTGTTCTCCACAGTTTCTTAAATAATCCATTTAAATTCACTACTACCAAATTTTTTGAGAAAATGATATAATTTACAATTTTATTTCCATTTAAAATAATCTACAAGGTGGTGCATTTTTTAGAAATAAATCCTCTTGGTTTTTTCAATTTCTTGACTCTCCTTTTGGAAAAATAACAACTTTTCTGTTTCATCACTTAACATTCTGATCTCAAGAATTTATTTATTTAGCTGGTAACTTTTTCATGTGGTCTGTTGGCTAGCTTTAAGTAAAGGTAATAACATTCCAAGTCTGGTAACCTCACTGGCCAGCAAATAGGACCATAGATACTAATCTAATTTTCTTATCTTTGGTCAGAGAAATAAGCATACAATTTTGTCGATAGAATATTGCAGCACATATGGTTCAAGAAAAAGTAAAGTGTCTGTCAGGATTATTTTGGAGAACAACCAATGTTCTGTTTAGCATTTTAGATAAAAAAAAATAAGCACTGTTGAAAAGACAAATGAAAAGACTGAAAAAAAGTTGATTTTTTTGTTGGACATTTTGATTTTGCATCAGCACAATGTTGTTAATAATCTTTTTTTAATATCTTCATTAATAGTTAAAAATGAGATATTTTATCTTAATGAAATAAATACCACAAATATATAGGTAAACAAATTTGTTTGGAGTTTATATACATTTCAAATGTGCATGTTTTGATCAAACTTGTGCGTAGTAGCTAACTGCTGCTTTGCCTTTGATTAACCGTAATGTAATTGCAAATGATAAAAATTTTAATTTTATAGAGATGAAAATAATGTTTCTTTATAAAGTGAAATAATCAAAAGCATTATCATATTTCAAAATTATTCCAATAAATCAGATTTGTGTGCTGAAGTAAATAATTACTAAGTATAAGTATTTAAGTATTGTAATACAAAAATTATAAAATAAGTAGGTGTTGTGAATTCGTTATTAAAATGACGCGAATATTTCACGTGTGTAGTTAAATAATTTGTAATACAGAAATAAAACTATTATTGAACACATTTTTTCATTTTATACAATATCTCATGAGGAAGTGTACAAATTTTAAGGGAACATTCCTCTGGTGCTTATTGGTCCTTTTTGGTACCAGCCTCAATGACTGGTATGGACTATCTACAAATTTTCCAGAATAACTTGCCCGAACTACTCGGGGGTGTGGCCCTAAATGTAAAATAACCATTCGGCTTTTACATGACCATGTTCCATTCCACCTCATTTTAGACATGAAGTGTGATTTCCCAATATGTGGATAGATAAACCGTTATCATGGCCTCCAAGGTCACCAGATTGCAATCCATGTTATTTTTGCATGTGGGTTTACATAAAATGCTCATTTCTAGTGGCATGCACTGAGTTATGAATATGGCAAGCTATAGCTTGTGTGAATGAAAGATGTGGTGATAACTGCAGGCAGGATAATTTAGGCGAGACTTATCTAAATTGACCAGTTAACATACTTCCTATCTCTACTCTACTCTCTACTACCTCTATCTTTCCACCATTAATTTTGTCTCCAACTAAATTTTAAAGTCATTAGAAGGTTCCATCTCATTGTTCCTGCCACTTAGAACAAGCACAATGATTAGAAAGCATATTGAATAAGTATACTTGCAAATATTTCTGGCCATCTGGCAAGCAATGGACCTAGGAACTCCAAACCACCACCATATTTTGTCTTAATGTTTTAAGAAAATTAATACCGAGATTTAAAGAGAAAGGTTTTAGAAGTCTTTTTTTTTCTTAAAAAAAAAAATAAATTTAGTTCAACAAAGGCTTCCCTCGATCCTTTAGAGGCATCCAGTGAAGGAAGGTGTAAGGAAGCCTGAGTTGACATAAGATGATAACAAAACTTCTGAACCCAAAATGGGAAAATGGGTAAGTGTCAAAATCCAGTGAGTTTTCCAAAAAGGTAGTTCTCCTTGGGTTTCCAGACAGTCCGATCTATTTAACTTTAGAGTCTTGGATTTAACTAATTTTAATGAGAAATCTTGATTCCAAATTTTGCCATGTATCTGGAATTGCCTGAATCTTGGAATACAAAGTAGTCATTGATATTGTTTATTTGAATCTGTTGTGTTACAGTTGTTTTGTTTGTTTCAATTTTATACATTGTTATTAAAAAACCTTCCTTAAGAAGTTCTGATATTTTCTTGTTCTTTCTAAATTAAGTGACCCATTGAGTGAGTGTAACACGACCAACTCATGGATTAAATACTACATGAGCAAAAGAACGGTAAGTGCTTGAAATTCACTCTCTGAGCCTAAAAAATTTGTAAGTTCCAATGTATCATCATTAAAGTGTAAAACAAGTTTTATATGAAACCACTATATACTGTGAAAAAGGTACGTTGCTAAAATGCGTCATTTTAGAATAAAATAGATTTCAGTTTTCCGCAGTTATCAACTGAAAGTTGAATATTTGCTGTCTTGGAATCAAATTTAATGTCAGCCTTTTGCTAAATTTGTAGCTTTATTAAATATTTTTTTGCAATTTTTATTGACTGTTCAAATGTCAATGCTTATTGATATGTAGGATAAACTGTTGTTTGATGGAACTACATCAGCAATCTAAATTGTAGGTACTCTTGAAGAATGGCCCATTCGTTTCCAGACGCCCTGTATACTTTATAAAATATTAAAAAACATTGCAATTATTAGGAAAGATTAAAAAAAAAATTAAAATAACTATATTTTATATGAGATACTTTAAATTTATGACTTTTGCCTTAGTTCTTCATGTTTACATTTAAATACGAGGTTTGATCAAAAAGTACCGGAAATCTTCAAGTTGCGCGTGTTGTATCTTGTTGATTCTTTTTTGGGCATTGGTATCACTGTTTGTGACATGCCTGTCAATTTTTTAGGCAGCTGCCACACTTAGTATGTGCAACGAAGATATACTAATATTATATACTCATTGGTTTGTGTTTAGCGAACGATAATAATAATATTATTAGAATATCCTCGTTGCACAAACGAGCAAATGAGTAAGACCTTCAGTGTTTTTGGTGATTTTTTTGTGTGGCGAAATATCGGATCAGAGTTTGTCTAAGATATTTTGTGTTAAAAACAAAATTAAGTGCAGTGAAGCGTTAAAGAAGACCTTTGGCAACAATACTATGTCACAGCCATGAGTATAAACTGATAACAGTGGTACAAATGTTTTCAGGAAAGTCAAGAAGACAACGAAAATGATGCGAGATCTGGTCAAATGTGCAGGTCGTTCTAACAGTTAACAACGAGTACTACCTAACCTACCAGTTTTGTGCAATTTTCGTGAGGCAATCAGGACAAATGACAAGAACACATCGGCGCATACCGCTTTGCTTATCCAACAGTTCTTGGGAAAACAAAACACTGTTGTGACATTGCCACCACTCTATTATTCCGACATGACCCCTTTTACTTTTTCCTATTTCCCAAACTCAAAAGGTTACTCATAGGATGTTTTTCAACAATAAATGAGATAAAAGTAAAATCGCAAACCAATTTAACCAATCTCAAGACGATATCAAGGGAGTGGCGTTCCACCAGTGTCTCTCAAACTGGAACTAGGTTGACATAAGGGTATAATATCAGAGGGGGCATCTTTGAAGGGGATGAGATAAAAATTAAAGATTAAATAAATACTTTCTGAGAAAATGAACAATTCCCACTACTTTTTGATTAAACCTCGTATTAGTAGTATTGTTTTAAATGTTATGATTTAATTTAATTAATAAACTTTAGATAGCCACATACAAAAAAATTTATTAGAAAATGATTCACATTTGCAAATGTACTTACCCATTTCTATTGTAAAATGAAACAGAAAACCAAAATATTTATTTCTTTAACATATCAAAATGCGATATCAATTTTCATTAATTGAAAATGCCTTCAAACGTTTCAGATAAATTTGTATAAATAAGAAAATAAACAATGAATTTGTGGAAAAATTAGCATTATTTAGATAATATTAGAAAGTCCCAATATTCATACAACTGCTACAAATTCTTGGGGTCAAAATTCAAATTGGCAAATAATTTGTTTTTTTCTTGTAAATGTTTTGTTTCTAATTATTTTCACATAATTGATTTATTAGTCCTGATCAACGCATTTTTGATATTATAAATCGATGTAGCTATCATAAAAAAATTGTTTTTTTTTTAATATAATCGAAATAATACTTATAGTGTTCATAATCGCATTTTATGGAATCTCAGATGAGTGCAAAATTAATTTTGTTATTGAATTCATACATTACTGCAAATAGTGATCATTGCCAATATTTTTTGTGAAAGAATAACATTCCGTTACAAGATTCTGAACTCCATTAAGTATTACTTTATTTTTATTATTACATGAATCAAATTTTTTACGGTAATTGCAAATGAGTTGGTGGTGACCAACAAAATAATTGTTTGTGCAAAAATAGTTATACGAAATATGAAAAATTTCTTATACAGAAGATACTTGAAAAAGCCAATTTTTTTAATAAAATAAGAATTGAAGTGTAAATAAATAGACCGATCGAAATACTCGTTTAGAGGGAAAAATAAAAGAAAATTGTTACCTGAACTTTTATAAGTGCAAATGGTAAAGGGGCTTATAATAAACGAAAAAAATAATAAATGCGTGAGCAGGGGAGGCGGAGGGTTAATTTGGGGTGTTGAAAAGTTGTGAAAAATTGTATCATTGGGATTTCTGGCGAAAATTGAGGTCAAACAGAAAAGTATCCAATACCATAATAGATCATGCAAAAATCTACAAATTTTGTAGAGGTCACTTTTTACGATAACCTCAAAATTTCCGAGAAAAATGCGAAAAACGGATTTCTTATTTTTCGTTTTATATTTCTCATTTCCGCAAAAATAATCTAATTTTGATGAAACCTGTTGAAAATATACCTTTCTGTGTCTTAAGTAACCGCAATTTTTTTTAGAAAAAAAAAATCAAGAAGTTTCCGAGATATTCATTTTTTCCGGTCTGAAACTTTTTTTTCACAGAAAAATTCTAGTTAGGAAAATCATCGTACGGAGTTCTGCCGGTAATCATTTTTTTCGTTTTTACATATACTTTTTGGTGAAATAAAAAAATCTGTAATCATAGTTCAAAAACATGCTTAAAAATGCAAAAAAATAAAAAATTACTTGCAACAATGAATTTTTCAGTAATTGTTGATAATTTGTTTAAATTAAAAAAAAATCAAAAACTGATTAAGTACATCATTCAATTCTACGGAAAAAATACAAAAAAACTGTCTCATTGTTTGGCCCAAAACTTTATTTTTGTACAGTATTACTATAAACATAAGTCGAAGTCGAATAGTGAATAAATAAAATAAATAATAATTTTTTCCATAGGATCGATTAGTGTCGAAGATAAGGATGGGATAGCATTAGGATCTAGGAAACGGTAAGAGATACGGGGTGGTTCAGATTTGAAAAATTTTTTGTTTTTTTTATACCTAACAATATGCCGTTTCGAAAATTCTAAAATTCCGGTAGTTCCGGAGCTCTCCGGAAAAAAACCGAAATTTTGCAAAATTGTTTAATTTTTTTTTCTGGCTTTATTTGAAACCGAATTTTAAAATAAATTGCATATTTACAATGCCACTTTTTCCGCTCTATACAATGGCGCTAAGATTTTTGCAATCCGACGTTTCATCTTCGAGAGGCCATCAAGTTAATTTTTGTCGCTGTTATTTTTAAGATCAAATCTAAAGCCATTTGTAATTCTGAATTAGATATTACTATTGGAAAAAAGGTTTTTAGCTATCATTTAAAATTTTTCCTTAGTACGGCTCATAAAAATAGCGACGTATTTAAAAAAATTAATGATGGCCCTTTGAAGACGAAACGTCCGATTGCAAAAATGTTGAGGCGATGGGATAGAGCGAAAAAAGTGGCAATGAAAATATGCAATTACTGAAAAATTAATTGTTGCAAGAGTCATTTTTTATTTTTTTTTGCATTTTTGAGCTGTGATTACAGATTTTTTTATTTCATCAAAAAGTATATGTTAAAATGAAAAAAATGATTACTGGCACAACTCTGTACAATGATCTTCCTAAGTAGGATTTTTCTAAGTGTTTCAGACCGGAAAAAATGAATATCTCGGAAATTTCTTGATTTTTCTGTCTAAAAAAATTTGAGGTTATTTAAAACTCAGAAAGGTATACTTTCACCTAATTTCGGTCAAAATTAAGTTATTTTTGCGGAAATGAGAAATAAAAAACGAAAAATCAGAAAAAACCTGTTTTCCGCATTTTTTCTCGGAAATTTTGAGGTTATCGTAAAACATGACCTATACAAAAGTTGTAGAGTTTTACATGATCTACAACTTTTTCATTAGATAACTTTTTTGTTTTCGCCAGAAATCCCAATGATACAATTTTTCACAACTTTTCAACCCCCCAATTCAAAAATCCGTCACCCCTGCTCACGCATTTATTTTTCTTAGGTTTATTATAAGCCCTTTTACCATTTCCACTTATAAAAGTCCAGGTAACAATTTTTTTTCCAAGTGTGATTTGGATGGACTAAAAGAAAATAACATATTCAAACATATTTGCCTAGGGATAGAGATGTTTTTTCCTTTTCTATAAATGCAATTGATTCAGCAGTCGAAATGTGATATCTACACACATGTACTAGTAAATTAAATTTTATTTAAAAGGGGACAAAGTTATTTGCATAAAACCAAAGTATTCTTTGAGGGCCATTTTGAATAGACAAGTTTAGTTAAATCGTTTTATTTGGACCTCAAAAATGTATGTTAAAGTTATCAAAGATCATGAGAATGTCTTTGAAGAGTGTGGATGGCTTCAAACATCTGGTAAATAAGTAAGTATATCATAATATTTATTTTTTAAGTTTCCTTATAAATTTACACCATTTGTTAAAAATAACTTATTGTTCATATAGAAAACTTCGAACATACAAAAATACACATTTAATACTAACGATATAAATAATTATTATTATACGTTTTGTTCGTTGTATACTTCTCATAAATAAAATACACAGTCGCTTTTATGCACATATAAAATAAAAACAGATATGCTATATTGATAATGAATTAATCAAAAACTATATCTAATATATACAAAATATTGTCTGATTACCTTATTGATTTTAAGACAATTATCTCAAAAATTGTCGAATCTTAATTATATGTAAGTATCGAGTTTTTTGATATGTTTAAATATTACTGTAGGTGGTAAAAACGTAGCAAAATAATATTTTGCCCTGAGCATATAAAAATATGATTTCTTTTTCCTTTTAAATACCTATTCAGATTACACTAAAAATTAAAGAAATTAATTTTTAGTGTAATTATTCTCGTCACATTTTATAAAAGCAGGTAATGGAAGACAGTCTATAATCTTCTTGTATAACAGTATGTATTATTGTATTATTAATAACTATATGGCCCATATGCTGATCCTGTTGTATAGTAAGGTCCCGTGTAGGGTTGCGGTTGAGGTACTGGGTAGCCAGCATACGCGTATTGTTGTTTTTGTGGGTACACTGAAAAAATATTAATTTTATATAATACCGCTGATTGCACTTTTATAAGGTTACACTACCACAATACTATGAATGTTCAGTACTTTCAATTAATTTCAGCAATACTCTGTGTTTCATTACAAAGTATTAAAGGACATATTATAAAAATTATTATGCGAGACTATTAATATACACAGTTCACTAATATGTCAATGTAGGTATAATAATAGTTGTGTTATCTCAGATCCAAAAAAAAATGTTCAAACAAGTTCTAAGAGTTAAAAAAATATGTTTTAAAATTACTTTACAATATACAAAGTCAAAGTACAAAGTGATAATAAGTTTTCTGAACGGAATAGTAATGGAGATAACTATTTTAAATATTGCTCGCAATATGTTTTTCAAATTTTAAATTATACCAACTTATTTTTTTCAAATTTTCAAATTCACTTTTTTAAGATGTTCCACATTTATTAACAAAAATTGATGGAAATAATGCCTATCACTGTTATACTATTAATATGTTCTTATAACCACCCTGTAGATTTAAAAACTAAGTGGAAATTGATAGCTTTGATATTAAATATCAAAATAAAACTATTTTGGTAACATTGAATCCAACCAATAATTTCTAATTAAAAAATGTCTAATTTAAATTTACGATGGTAAAAGTAGGTAGGTACCTGACTTTTACTAATTACTTATTCATTATGATGAAACTGTATTGAAATTTTTAATGGGTGTTATCAGAATTTTATTTATCTTCATATGTTGAGGTACATAACATAAAATCTGCATTTTACATATAAAGTACAGCTGTTGTCAATAGTGGAACTTGATTACGATAATAAATAATCAATAATTTTATGCATTTCGCAATTCTACAATCTTTTTAATAGCCCTATAGTATATTTATTTCAAGAGTCAAATTAGGAAAACTAATTTTCAAGGGTTTTCTCAGGTATTAATGGCATCCTTGTAAGGGGTGATATACAGTCAAAATTAATGAGATTTATCCAAATATATCTATCTCTAAAAGTTCACAATTCCCGATATACAGGGTGTGAAAGATTTCGAAATTTTTATTTTTATTTATTTCCTTGGAAACCCCTCCACAATATTTCTAGGTTGTAATCTTTCGTCTGATTATTCAGTACCTATATTTAGATATTCCCATCATCACCAGTGGCGTAGAAACCCTGTGATAGCCCTCTTTTATTTACAATAAAAATAGTACGTCAATGTCTTAATTATAAAAAAACATAAGATACTTTAAGTTCTGATTATTTTGAATAAATAATTATTCTTTGAAATTTTCTTTAATGTGCATAGTATTTAAATAATTGTTCATTTATAATGTTTCTGCATTCGTAGTTTGTGTGTGGTGAGGCTGTATGCTTTAGTATTATTTTCTTACTGATTAGTGATTACATAAACAATTATTATTTTTCAAAATTTTTAGCACTGTTGTGTCATGGAAATGCAGCCAAAGCGGTTGTATGCAGAATGATTTCCAGGCTGTTCATTTATTTTGATTGTATAATCACCCCTTACAAGAATGCTAGTAATACCTGAGACACCCTGTATAGTGAGAATATGATTATCCTAATCCTTGATATGGGGTGACGTTAATAATTAGGTACTTATTAAAAATTATTGATTTAAAAAAGTGATCCTAAAAATCTTTTTATGTTTTATTCTCAGACAGTGGAAAATTGTATATTTTATTTTGCTATTATGTATGTAAATAAATAATAGCAATGATTTAACAGACTTACTAGGCATAGTTACACATTATGATTATAATACAGTCATGTTTGTAAGTTAATTAGTATATTTTTTTGTTAATAATTTGATTTTTTAACAGGTTTAACAAGAATTTCATGCTAATATTAATAAAACCAATCGGAGAAGAAAGAGAAATAATTAGATTTTGATGTTTAGAGACAGAAAGGAGTAGAGTTATTAACAGCTTAATAAGAAAACACTTTATACAAACAAAGTTATAATACAATGTTACTGTTTTTTTGTAAGCCTTAAGCATTAAGCGAGACAGTTTGAAAATTACATGATTTTTTTATTATCAATATGATTGCTTTGAAATTTTTATTATTTATTAGTATGTAGTTGTATTTTATTAAACATAAGTGACACAAGAACTTTCTGAAACAATAGTCATAGTTTTTCTTTTAATACAAAATTATATTTATAAGTACTGAATTTTTCCATTTTAAACGTAAAATATTACACAAAAATTAGGTACTTTATTTTTAGTAAAATGAGTGACATGAAACTCTCATATTTTTTCAAGAGAAAAAAGCAAATTGTTATTGCTACTACACAAAAAAGAAAACATTGCTTTCTAATTGAAGAGTTATAGACACGAAAAGAAATGTAGATATACAAGTATCTCATTCTCATCGAAGGTGTATTATTTCATAGCTCTATTATTCATTTCAGTAATTTCACACAAAAGTTGTATCAATATATTTGGACAAAGTATCTTCCAAGAATATTGTTAATTGTTTAGCTTTTCCTGGGAACTATCTACCTTTTTTTATTTCAGTTAATTTTAATATTACTTTATCTATTATGCGCCATAAACGGTTTATTTTCCCTCAACTCTGAAAAATGTACAATTTCAAATATCATCCGAACAAACAAAAATGGTTTTCATTATTTGCACGGGGTAACTATTTTTTTTTTAATGGACCCCACCATCTTTTTGACTATTTTGATTCTCTTTCCATTGAGACTATAAGAGTAACTGAAAATCTAATGTTTGTTGAAATTAACGAATATACTACGACATTTTTTCAAAAATAGTTAAATAACTCAAAACAAAACATCATGTTAAAATCAAATAGGACATTTAATTATACAATAATTGTCGGGGTATATAAATAGAACATAGGTAACGCGAACATGTTTCAAATCAATTGTCAAAATTGCTACAACTTTTGTAAAGATATTTTTTTTTACTAAAATGAATAATAAGCCAACATCTACAGAAAAATTGATCGTAGATCAGACACCTTATATGCTTAATAATAAGAGCAATTGGCTTGAGTCATAGACCGTTTTAAAAATCTTACTGAACCAGATAAGTAGGTACAGAAATGTTAGGCAAACAGAATTTATAAATTTAAAATACCAAGTACTGCTGTAATTTAAATTATTTCACACTACGTATGTTAAATTAGTGTTTGTAAATTAGGAACTACATTTATATAGGTCAACTACGTGATTTCCATATTTTTGCATGAAAAATTCAATTCAGAAATAATTAACACGAGAAATAAATGAAAGATATCTGAAATTATTTGGATATTTTGCCACCTGCAGAGGAATTTATAAAATTATTAAATTAATTATATCACCAAAAAGATTAGTCAATTTATTTTCTATGAAATTATGTTTATTATTAAATAACTTTTTTTTTTAATAATATTGATTATATAGATATTAATAAACAGCGAAAGGTGTCTAAAATTATTGGACGGACTTGGATCTAGTGGGTATCCAAAAATACAAGTAGAATAAAATCATATGATATTTCTAACTATGGAAGAAGATTAAGAAACAAAATATAAACCCTCACATTTACTTAAATAGAACCGAGTTTCAAGAACGAAAATATATCGATTTTCAAAATGTAGACTAACAAAGTGAAGTTACCTAAATAGTAACCTGTTTTGTTATTTTATGTGTAGGGAGATGTCAAATTGAAATAGTATAGAGGAAAAGATAATTAAAGCAAATCGTTTCCTATGAATATAGCTTTGAAAATGGCCACATTATTTAAATAAACTGAAAATTTATGATTAGATCTAAACGAAAATAGGCATACCTAGAAGGAAAGTAATTGAAGAAATTTTAAAATTGGTTTTTGACTTGAGTTTTTTACTTGTTAATGATATTAATTTTGAAAATCAAAAGTATCATGAGTTGTATTAAAACTTTCCGGAACATTAGCTCTAAAATCATATTTTACGAATTTTATTACCTATTTTCTTACCAATATTTTCCCTCATTTTAGCCATCCATGTGCCTTTTCAATTTTGGAATTTCAAATCAAAAACTTGACAAATATTTTCAGAAATAGTACAGTTATCGATATTGAAGGTCAGTTGGTTTGTAGGTATATCTACCTTATTCAGTGAGAATTTTGAGTAGACAAAAATAATTTTATAAAAACAACTCTTGGCTGATTCTTATAACATACAAGGCAAAGCAAAATACCCAAACAGTTAACAGGGAAAAAATAAACGGAACGTAAAAAATAAAATTGTCTCAGAAAACTCTTATTATGCAAATGAAAATGATCCCCAAAAGTTACCAGGCATTAAGTACTGCATGTTGATAGCTTCCTCGCGCTCCCTTTCCCCTCTAAGGCACATGGCAGCTCCGGAGAACAAAACGGCTGCCACCAAAGACCACCCGACGCCAACCCAGGCTAACATGTAACTCCAATCGTAGTTGACCCGTGTGTTATCCCGAAGGACCTAAAAGTTAAAAGAATTTAAGACCAACCTGGCATAATGTACTGAACGTTGTTGAGGTTCTCCTTCTCCCTCTCGTTGCTCAGGCAGCAGGCGGCAAAGAAGAAGATGAACGACGCCCCTAAACAGGAAAATACTCCTAGCCAACCAAGGACGAAACTCCAGTCGTAATATATCTCGGAGTTGTCTTGCAGAATCTGTGTGTTGCGGGAAATAGTTGAAAAATTAAATTTAAATTAAATAAAACATGTAAACTAACACTATTTTTGGTAAAGGATTAAACAATATGTCGAGTCTTGTTTTGTATGTGTCAAAAATCAAATGCATGGTTTTTCCCACTAGTTCACATATTTTTCATATGGCTATATGAAATTTTTCTGTAGCCGTTAAAAAATAAGAAACTTCCATTTTTTTGTATCAGTTTTGAATTGCAGTCACCAGAAGGTCAAAGTTACATAACTTATACAAACAACTTAAATTGATAATTGACTTTTTGTTTATGGTTTTTATTTTTCTAATAATGTTCCTAATTGTGACAATTGGGTGACTATAATATGACTTTAAACTGTAATTGTAATTTGTTAGTGAGCTGGTACTATAGGAGAACACACTATAGTAGCAGTTATTTTAAATGGAAATAGGTGCAAAAATTTAAATAACATTTCTACTAATAAAAGTAGTGTTTAACTTCGTTTTTCGGGAACTGAATAATAATAGAGTTACATGACAAAGTTATGTTTTAAATTAATATTTTACTAAATTTTTTGCTCCGATTAAGCTGTTTTCAAATTTGATACAGTTGGTATATTTATTAACGATAACAAAGTAAATTTGTTAAAAAATCATCAGAACTGCGAAGTCTTAAAGAGGTTAGACTCGCTTTTATTTACTAAAATTTGTCATAATTTCTCGAACACCCTGTATATTTTTATAACCTTGAAATGAACTTAATTATTTAACCTTAAGGAATATAACTAATATTTAAAAAATAAACAGTTACAAATAAAATTGAAGAAAAACAATATTAATGGTTCAGGGATACTAAATATATAACAGTAACCTTATTTTTTTATTTAATTATTCACGACCTTTAAACTGTTTTTGCTACTTAATTATGTGCACTCATATAATTTAGGCTGCTAATTAAATGATCAGTGTTTCAATATACATATAGGTATCTTGCAAGGTAAATAATTTAATGGACTTATGTACAGTAAAATTTTATCAACCAATTAGGTACCCACGTAATTTTATTCTACTTTATTTTACACCACATTTTTTATATCAATTTTAAATCTAACACATGAGTTATACAGGGTTATCCAAAAGTCTCGGTACGGCGGAATAACTTTCGAAGAATGCATTTCTGGAAAAAATGTTTCTGACAAAAATGTAAGGATTTTTCCCTGGCTATCTGATGTTGACTTTGGATTTGACCTTGACTTTGAACTTCAAGGTCATTTGAAGGTCAAGTTAAGTTTTTTAAATGGGAACCCTTATTTTTTATTGCCGATTTGGAAAGAGCAGGGAAATTTACGTCCAAATATGGTCTTGACCATGACTTTGACAATGACCTTTAAGGTCATTACAAGGTCAAAATTGTTTTTTCATTGGTAACCCCTATTTTTTATTACGGATTTGAAAAGAGCTGAATTTTAACCTTCAAGTACGACATTAACTACGACTTTGACAATGACTCTCAAGATCATGTCAAAGTCAGGTTAATTTGTTTATTATTTTTTTGACAAGTTAGGAAGAACGGAAAAACAAATGTACGAATATGACCATAATCAAGCTTTTGGCCCTGAACCAGTATTTGAAGGTCATTTTAAAAAGATTTTTTCAAGAATTTTAACAAATTTCAGTCACTGTAGGGTAGCTAGCGATCCCAGTCAGTTAAGGCAAGGGGATAGCCCGTCCAGTTAAGGCAAGGCTAACGATCCTGGACAGTTAAGGAATGGCTAACAATCTCGGCCAGTTAAGACAAGGCTTACAACCTGTGGTCAAAATGTTCTCTATCAACATTTTGGCAGATTCCTAGACGAACATAAGAATTCTCAATTGCACTCCTTATCATATCAGGTGTAATATCAGCGCAAACATTGACTACTTTTTGTTTTAAATCTTCCAAATCTCGTGGTTTAGGAGCGTACACTTTATTTTTTATGTGGCCCCAAAGAAAAAGTCAAGTGGACACAGATTAGGGGACCTAACTGGCCCCTCAATAGTTCCTCTCTGACTATTAAATACTACATCTCTCAATCGCCCGAAAATGGGCAGGTGCACCTTGCCTTAATTGGTCGGGTATACACACCACCTTGCCTTAATTGGTCGAGACTAAACGCTACCTTGCGTTAATTGGTCGGGAGTACTGCCGTACCAGGACTTTTGGAACTCGATCCACATTTGACCTTGAAGGTCATTGTCAAAATCATGGTCAAGACCAACTTTGGACGTAAAATTTCCTGCTCTTTCCAAATCCGCAATAAAAAATAGGAGCTTCCATTTAAAAAAACTTAACTTGACCTTCAACTGAATTTGAAGGTCAAAGTCAAGGTCAAATTCAAGGTCATCATCAGATAGCCAGGGAAAAATCCTTACACTTTTGTCTGAAACATTTTTTCCCAAAATGAATTCTTCGAAAGTTATTCTGCCGTACCGGGACTTTTAGATAACCCTGTATGTATAACGTACCCAGGCATTTTTTATATGTAATAACCTAAATTTAAATATATAGTAACAATATTAATTACACCGTTTTAATTAGCACCACCTTGCATTACTATTATATATCTATACTGGGAGATGTAACTTTACAAGACATATAAATACCTTATATGTATGAATCATTATGATGATTCATTAAAACTTCCCTTAAAACAAATAAGTTTTTCATGTTTTCCATACATCTACTTTTTTTTGGCCTACACCTAGCTGTTTGTTAAACAGTAAATTTCAGAAAATATATCTAGAATCATTAAATGTTTTAGATAAAAACGATGTACTGAAATGCAAATTTTGACTATATTAAAGAATTTTAACATCATTTATTTTAAAACTATATCTTGTAAACATATACATTTCAGACTGAAAGATAAATGTATGTATACATTTATTTTTATACTTACTAAGAAATTGAAGTCTCTTAGAAATATAATAATTTAGATACTTGATATAGAAATTTGACGAATTTTGTGATATTTAAAAAAAATTATGTGTTAGCTAAATAATAGTCTCTTTCACAGATACAATGCTAAGTATTTTTATCTCTAATGAACCAAAATATGGTAATACATCTCCATAGTCCTTATTTATACATAAATAAAACTTGTTTTTTGTAAATGTCACGTTACTAAATCTGCAACAATCGTTTACTTGCTAACCTTGACAAATAGATAACAAATTCCAAAAATTTGATTGTAAATGTTGATATTATATCTTGTATACTATCTAAAAACTTACATTACTCCACTGTTGGTAGAATTCCTCACCGACTTGTTTTTCTTTTTCGTAATATTCAACGCCATGCCAAAGACCCATAGCACCGGCACTTAGGAGACCTGTAACAATATTTTGCATTATGTTTTAAATGTTTTAATTTTTGGTTTTAAGACTTTTACGTTTCGGGTTGGTATTTAAAGTACCATAGTTTTTTGGGTTTTATGCCGTGGTCTATGTACCTGGTCGCCGCCAGTTACAGATTCACATTGCATCTTTGATCTGATCTTGTTGTTCTCGGGCTAGGTCTGTGAGGGCGGATTCGCTATAACGACTTCTAAGCCTGTCCTGATATTGACTCGCCTCTTGTTGGTTCCAATGCCGCTATATGAACGGAAGCTTTCCGCGAATGAGAGAATGAATGAATGAAGACCATCATTTTAGTAATAAAAATTATTAGATACATATGTAACAAAATTATTCAATCTGTGGCACCATTTTATGTGTAAGTATCTTACAATAAATTGTTCCATTTATTAGTCAAATTAAGGCTATCAATTTTTAGAAAAAAAAAAACAGTATGATTACAGCGAGCTACCAGCTATATGATAGACTTAGGCTAGACTTACGTAACTGTAATAATAAATAGAATATGTTTTGAAACATTTAAAATAGAAGCAGTACGAAATTTTAAAATGTTAGTAATTTGGTTCTATTGAATAATATCCAAAGTTGGCCAAGTCCTACTGCCTTCAAATCTTGACCAATTTATTGAAGATGGGAAAAACAAATTTTTATTACACATATAAATACAACTTGGCCACTTCATTGATCAATTAATTAGGAATAAAAATCGTAAATATAAATAGATTTTACATGCGAATTAAAATAATGTAATACGATAGTTAGAATTGTAAATATTGTTTTTAGCAGATTGCTTAAATCTGCAGAGGTATATTGGAAACAACAGATTTTTTGTTCTTGTTTTCAATAGCAGACACCACCACCACACCCTAATAAGAAATGTTGTTCAAACCTACACAAATTCTTGGGACATTTTAATCACCTAACCAAAATTTAAATATATTACAGTGTCGGAACCTGTTTCGAAAAAGTTATATATAGAGATAAATTCTAAGCTTATTTTTTGTTGATCTGTCAAACATATACAAAACTTCATGATTCATCAGTAGGTACTACTAGGTACTTTAGACGATGTTAGATACATTTAATTAGGAATCTTATCTGTGAAGTTAGATAGGTATCTTTTGCATTCCTAGATTTCTGATATCGAAAAACATTGCTTGAATTAATTTCCTAAGATTTGTTAGAAAAAAGATTAATTGGAATTAGCTTAACACTTCTACAATAAAGGAAAAATTCAAGGGATAATGATAGAATATATCTACGTTTTTTTTAAAAAGTGTATGTTCTACTTATAGTCCAAGAGAATTAAGCTCAAAACCTTACAGATATAGCTGTTGCTTGACGTAGATTAGATATTAGTAAAAATCGGTCAAAAATAATATATACAATGAAAATATCACGTTGCGCCAAGAAAAAAAGTTGTGCTATTTGCAGAAAAAATTAATAACTGCAAAAATACTCAAAAATGACGTGTTTTTTCTAACATTTTCCAATGTAACTTCTTAAATATGCACTTTACAGAAAAAACTATTACTGATGAAATTGTTTTTTTATGAAATTTGCTATAAGATAGAATTATTTTGATACCTGCGCATATCATATTTTTGTTGCTAAATAGCCAAAACAACGTAAGAAAGTGATGAAAATCGAGGTAATTTGGAAGTGTCAAACTGACAGGCAAGAAATTGTCCAATTCTACTATAAATGTAGATGTAAGTACTTTAAACGATTATAAAACGAAATTCCAAAACCCGATCCAAATCGGTCTGATAGTATTGGTATGAGACAATTTGTTACTAAATTTCAGCGCGAAATGTCGTTATTTTTTTACGTGAGTGCTGGGGTTTAAGTTAGGCATTTTAATTGGCGCTGATTTTTTTACACATACTTGGATCCCTTAACAATCATATAGAATCGTTATAGTATCAATTTTCTTTTTTTGAATAATTTTTGGAGCAATTTTAAAAGTTCGAAAAATTTTGTAGCAAATTTCATAACAAACAATTTCATCAGTAATAGTTTTCTCTGTAAACTGCATATTTAAGAAGTTATGTTGGAAAATGTTAGAAAAAACACGTCATTTTTGAGTATTTTTGCAGTTTTTAATTTTTTCTGCAAATAGCACAACTTTTTTTCTTGGCGCAACCTTATATTTTCATTGTTTATATTATTTTCGACCGATTTGTACTAATATCTAAATTATGTCAAGCAACAGCCATGTCAATATGTAATTATCCTGGGCTATTAAGAGATAAGACTTTTTGTATTAGTAAGTCTCCTAATAGCGAGATAAGTCTCATTACGTTTATCCTTACAATTCAAAGCCATGTCCAATAATTATTTTTTGGTGTTAAAATTAGAGAAGTATTATTAAGGCTGACATTTTATAGACAAGAAATTGCATTTTAGCAAGACAATGCTAGAACAAGAAAATCCATCTAATCTATATAAATGTTGACATACAAGGATTCCTTCCATTTTTCGCAGTGAAACATCGCAGAAAATAAAGGCAACCATGCAAACAAACAAACATGTACCATTGCTATATTGTCGAGAATTTTGTAAAAATACTCAATAATTGTGATTAGTTCATAAAGCATTCTGCGGGGTGTGATTATGTTTATAGTATCGTACGCCATTTTGTGTATATTCAAAGGTGTGTAAAGTTCAGGAAACATAATGATAAACATATAAGAAGTAAAAATATGTTTTTTTATATGCAATATATTGTCAGCTTATAAGCTGTCTTATACCCTGGAGAAAACTAGTATAACTGAAAATTACGCGGAAAGACGCCACCTTAAGGACTCTTAGGAGAGAAGTCTTAACGAAATCTTACCTCTTACTCTTACTGGCTTAAAACACAAAACATTGTATCAATGCATCAAGTCTACTTTTTAATAAATAAGAAAAATAAATTGTTTGAAGTTTTGGAAACAATTAGATTTGTAAAGGTGTATTTTGAAACGAAAAAAAAAAAAACAAGTAAAAGTTTGAAACGTTGATGTATACTTACCGATATTTATTAATATTCCTGATTAAACTAAAAATATAAAACCAATACTTTCTACTCAAGTATGTCTGGTCTGCACTTTGTTCCACCAGGGAATAAATTAACGGTTAGAAAATACGTTTTGCATTGCGTGTAAGACTGACAGGACGGCGAACGTCGCATTAGGAATAATAAATGTAAATTATGTCCCCTGGATCTAATTCAATATTACTTATGTCTTCGCAATACTTTCACGTTTCCTTGCATGAATACCAAATAAAGAAGTCAACTGTTAATGCCTCGGGTCAATAAACTAATAAATGTAATTTTTCATTTTTTGGAATAAAAAATGAATACCTATGTTGAAAATTTAAAAAAACCATAAGACACGGGAGTTTGTGAGTAAATGAAGGAGATCTGGTTTACGAAGTCTGGGCCAAATTTCAATGCAAATGTTAAGTATTAATGCGAAAGTAAACAATTCTGCAAAGGGAAATACGATGGTCATTCAGATTATTCAGAATTTAGTAGGTACCCGATTTAACCAATACATAATACATTAACATCAACTGATAATCACCATTTGAAGATAAAAATAAGAAAGAAAACATCTGACGAATGCTTCACAAATTTTGCAAATTTTTTTTATCCTTAGCACTTAGACATTATAGTTTTCTAAGTAGTCGTTGAAGTGGATGATAATTTTAAACTGGCATGTATGTTTCAAAGGGACATTCTATCTAAAAGTCAAACTTTTACTTTAAGAATAGAAAGTCAACGTAAGGTTCTATTAAATTACCTCATTGTATATTTGGTATCTAAGATTATGGCATTTGATTTAGTAAGTAAGAAAGGCTGGTGCACCCGCAATTACAACCCGAGTTAACTATCTGAGGCATGATCAATGAGGTTGGACGGAACAAACACTGCAATTTATCTGCATAAAAGCTGGAACCAAATTTGGATAATAAAGCATGATAAATAAGTAGGATATATCGGATATCGATGTACTCATGGATACTTTGTCAAACATTAGTCGCCATATTGCTAATTGAGTTCATTTGTGATTGTTTGTGGTTCAATTTGCTGAAAACTCTGTAAAAATGGAATCTAATTAATATTTAGGTGTACCTGAGAAAATACTGGAGTGTGCGAAAGAGGTTTCTTTTAATCTTCTCCCAAAGAAATCTCCAGAAATTTTGTGGTAGACACATTACCAACATTTTATGGATTGGTGTAGAGAAAAAAACATTTTCAGAAGATGTATTATGGTGTATTTCTCAAACTTATCAAATAAAATGAAACCGTCAACACTTTGGTCACAATATTCAATGTGCGGTCAACGTTGGATATAAAGAAGGGGATTGCTATAAGCAAATATTCAAAGTTACGTGCTGTTCACAAGAGACAAAATGAGGGATATGTACCGAAAAAATTGCGAGTATTTACAAAAGAGCAAGTTGATTGCTTTTTGAATAGTGCACCTGATAATTTATATTTGATAATTAAGGTAAACGCATTCAAAATAAAAGAACAACATTTTTAAAAAGCTTCTTTATAGGTCGTCCTAATATTGGGGGTTGCAGGCGCATGCCGGTCTAATGAATTAATCAGTTTAAGAGTTGAAGATTTGAAATCTGCTTTAATTATAAAAATTTCCAATACCAAAACCAAGTGACCATGTTCTATTACTGTGCTGGGAGAGAGATTATTAAGCTTTTATCGAATATATGTTGCTTTACGTCTACCCGGATTGGTAGAACGTCGATTATTGTTAGTGGAAAGTGTCATCAAATAGTCGCCGATATTCATAAAATCAATGCCGTCTCGCAAGAAGCGACAAATTTTTTTCTGGACTACTGGAAAGAGTACAGTGGACACGCATTACGACGAACTTTTAGTTGACGGCGGTGGAGACCTCACTTGTTTTAAAAGACACAGAGGATGGAGATCGAGCACTGTGGCGGAAGGCTACATTGAAGACTCACTTTTGAATAAAGAAAATATTGCGAAAAGAATACTGAAATTTGATAGTGGTGATGATAAACCAAGCACCGTTGTCATTTCTGATTTCACAACATCTGAAAATAATATAACTATTAATGAAAACGAGTTGGACTGTTTTGAGAATTGCTTCAGGGAAGAGGGTAGTGACAGTTTCTGTGGTTTATTTAATTTTAATACTTGTTCAAACTGTATATTTAATATCAATATGAATAAACAAAAATTATTATAAATATTGTTGAATCAACTTTTATAAATTAAAACTTAATTAACACTTTTAATCTAAGGATTAAGTGTCAACTTTAGCTCCTACAATTAAAAGTGAATACTTTTGTTGCTGGAAACCATTTTTTTCTCAGTGAGGAAAAAGTCAACCTTAGAGACATCTGATAGTCAAAAAATGTAATAGTTTTGGAGAGTTGGAGAAAAATATCATTTTCCACACGCTTGCAAATAGCACTTTGCCCTGTATTTTATCATGTAATAATACAAATATGTTTTTTTACTCTATTTTTAAAGGTATTAGGTTAGTTCAAATAAATCAAAAAAAGTCTTATCTATGGGGTTAGATATCATTTGCATGCCTAGATTTCTGGTCTCAAAAAACAAAACATATGTTAAAATAAATATATTTGTTAAAAGTATACCTAAAATGTACTTAACTTCGTTATTATTAAGTTACTGATATGATAATTATAACGTTTTTAATTTAATACACTATACATAGTTTTCTTCTAAGCAAGATTCTTAAAATGTATGTGTGAACTGTCTCGAATCAGCCTCTTTACGATTTGCTCTTAGACTAATCATAATAACTTCTCGCTTTTACATTTTTTCGTAGTTGAAATTTTCATAATGTTATTTTTTAGGGTATACGTATCTACCTACAGAAGTACAGAAAAGGGTGCAATATTTTATTATTATTTAATGAACTTCCTAATGATCTGAAGAATATTAATTGTACCTATTTACCGTAATCTTACCTATTTATCTTTATATTACACTGTACTCCTATATTGTAAGATAATTATCCAAAAGTAACAAAACAGTTTCACAATACCTCAGCATTATACCGTTATAATTGTTTGATTTGAATAAATAAGTGATCTATATAAGTAAACGTCCGTAGCGTTTAAAAAACTTAATTACATTATAATCGTTTAACCATAACCAAGATTTCTTTTATAAGGCTGATGGATAGTTTTCCAGATTACAGAATTATTTTACTGTTGAAACCGAATGCGTATTCAGCACTTGGTAAATGAGGTTGCAAATCATTAGGTACAGCTAATTTTTAATATTCTGAAAGATATTTCTTAATATTACTGGCAAGTGTGTCCTTACGATTAATTTAAAGAAATGTATGCCTGTGAAGAATATTATCAAATAAAACGATTTTCTTCATTTACACCATGCTTATTTCATTAAAACGTATTCGGATAACAAAGTACAATATAAGGCGTCATCGGCACAGTGTTATCGGGTATGTGTGTTTATATTTTTTGTTAAGAATAAGCGACAAAACGCCAAAGGCGCAAAAAACCGGAAACTTTGTATGAATAGAAAATAAATTATTATGCAGAAGACAATGGATATGACTGGCACATGAAGTAAATTTATAAATTTATATTGTCTGTAATAACTTATTTCTAGCGTTATTTGGTACCTTTTAATATTTAATAGGCGTTTTTATCACATTCTAAATTAATATAGGCATATAAGTCCTTTACTGATCCTTTTGCAGCAAGGGTTTGTTTAATTTTTTTTCCATTAATTTTGTTCACACTTGGCAAAATACCCAGTAAATGAATATATGTAGTAATAAACTTTTTTGGTAAAAATGATATACAGAATCGATTTTGCAATTCAGGAAAGTTACTTCTTTAAAATCTAGTGTTATTATTATAATTTACATTGTATGATTTAAAACTGACTATTATGGAATACATGTTACGCTTTATGAAATACGAGGTCTGTTCAGAAAATAATAGAACTTTTTGAATTACGCACTAATGGAGACATTTAGTGACATGCGGTTGGCAGCATTGCGTTTCGCATAACCTCCTCTGTAATCATGTTCTTGGATTGCTGATATCTCATTTAGTTTTCGTGATATTGTTATTTGAGTACAACTTATTTAAGTGATAGTTTTTGAAATGTACAATTTTCTGGAACAATGCTGCAACGTAAAAATTTTGCATGAAATTGGGGAAAACTGTCATGGAAACGCTTCAACTTTTGAAACAAGTTTATGGAGACGATGGTCTGGGTCGTACGCAATGTTACAAAAATGGTTTTCACGATTTAAAAGTGGTCGTCAGTCAATTGAAGATGATCCTCGACCAGGAAAGCCTTCGATGTCAACTGATAACTCCTACGTTCCGAAAGTCAGAGGTATGATGCTTGCAAATCGACGGTAGAAGATGTAAGCATCTGAAATTTTGACTGAAAAATTGAACAAGCATCGAGTTTATTCGTTTCATACTGAACAACGAAAAGAAAATCGTGTGGACGTTTGTCGGCAACTCCTTGAACAATCCAATGACGATGAAATATTAATTCAAAGGATCATAAGAGAAGACAAAAGCTGGGTTTACCGCTATGATAAAAGTTCAATCATCACAATGGATTGACAAAAGATCTCCACGACCCAAAAAAGCGCGTCAGTCTCGAGCCAATGTCAAAGTGATGCTGACTGTTTTCTACTTCAATTTTCAAGATTAAAAGAAACATGTAGTGGTAATAATACTTATAAGAAGAAATCGCACTTTCGCTATTTTCAATTTTTCCAATTTTTTTTTGTTTAATGGAATATGACTATTGCAATTATACGAGGGTTGATGGATACTATTAAGAATATCACAAAAGAATGTCGAGTATTGAAAAAAATGTCCTTTAAAATTGAGAGACAAAATTAAATATACAAATTACAGAATATACTTACAGGCCACTAACATGAGAATCGCTGTTCCAGTGATATTTCCCGGGGATCTCCTCCAACATCCCGTCACTCCAGTGCAAAAGGCAGCAAAGACGGAAATGAAAGAAATAATGAAGAGAGCTATCATCGAGCGTCCCATATCTGAAAAAAAATGCGAAATGTTAATAATGTGATAACTTGTACGTTTAAATAATACTTACGCAGTCTTGTCCAAGCATCATCCGTAAAATCTCTGGTGTCGTTGTTCTCATCTGGAATGTAGTAGTTCACGTTGCTACAATAAGTTTCTACGGGACTCAGGTAGATCTTTACTGTAACAGAATAAATAAATAAATGAATAAATAACATTTTTGTATTATCATTTTATATTTTAATGTCTTAAATACATAATATTAAATATATGGAAATATTTAGTTGGTAAATATTAAAACTAGTTTTATACATTAGAAATCAATCTGGATCACTACAAAGATCTTTAATTGAAATTTTCAATTTTTTTATTTGTTTGAATAAAACATTTAAATAGAATTTGTCCTATTGTTAAACTGAATCGGTTTGAGTTAATCATTGGTTGAACAATTTTCAGGCTGGTTGCTAAGTCAGCTATATGGAGTTCTAGACGTTTCAGAGACATATCGCTCTCCATCAGAGAGTTCTTTCTGAATTAGACAGCGATGAGTCCCTGGAAATGTCAAGAAGCCTAAATCAATGACGTGGCAACCTAACCGGAATTACTCAAACCAAGCTGATTTAGTTTCTATTAAAATTTTGTTTCAATTATTGATACTTCATTTTCATTACGTAATAACAAAATTAATCAGTAGTGTTGACTTTTTTAAAATGAAATCATGTATTTTATCGACATTTCCACTAATACAAATTTTAATGATTCTATAAGCATTTTAAATAACAATTTAATAAACTTTTTTTAATGCGCTGAATGGGTAGGTAAATATAATACTCGTCAACTTGTCTAAAAAAATAACTACCATGGTAAAAAAGTGCTTTACAAACAACAACAATTAAATAAATTAACAATTAAAATATTCCTATTTGTACAATTACTATTTTATATTTTTAACATGATTTAACCGATAAATCAGTCCAATGTTCCACTGAAATAGCAAACAGGCCGAGGTCTTACAATAACAATGGTAATTTTTTTAACACCACCATCACATCTCAATGAATTCATTAAATATCTAAAGTAATCGCTACAGACAAATAATAACACGTATTTGGGTATATGTCTGTACTAGCACCCTTTGAAATTTAAAACATGCAGGTTTCAATAACTCAATCGATATTAGTTAGTTCTTTACATGTGACACTGTTTTACAGTTATTTGTTACCTGCCATTGTCAAAGAATTGTTAAGTATGTGGCATGAAATGAAATTACAAGACACGCTATTCTTTACTTCCCACTACTTGAGAATTTTCTCAGAATTCGATGATTTGTTTACCGGCATTTTAACAACTTTCCGAAACGTGTCCATTTGAAACAATGAACTAAGACAGTTAACAACTATTTCAGTTAAGTCAAGTGATTAAATCATTATCTTCAAGACAACTTCTGTGATCCATCAGACACAAGTAGTAATGTTGTCAGTATTTTGGTTAATTACTATATTGGCAATAGTCTTTTATATGATCTGTGTTAGATTAATATATATCTTACGCCTGATTTAACTATACAGGGTGGCCAACTAAAAACGAAACGGAGCCATTTTCAGGAACTGCGTTAAGATTGTAGAAAAACGCTCAGACCCGTCCATTTTAGATTAAAGGGGGACATTCTTTGCTGGTATTTTTGACTCCGCCACTTTCACCCCCAAGCAAGGGTAAGCATCACGTTCGAGCACATTCCGAAGCATTTCCGGGATGGTTCGACGGCATTCGTCGATGATTCTTTGACGCAAATCTTCCAGCGACGCTAGCTGTGTTTTATAGATTTTACTTTTTAGGTATCCCCACAAAAAGAAATCCGGTGATCGTGGAGGCTACTCAATGCTTCCTCATCTCCCAATCCAATTCTGTAGAAAACGTTGGTCCAAATACTGACGGACAATTAACGCATAATACAGAGGAGCACCGTCCTGTTGAAAAATCAAAAGATCTTCATCATACTCTGGAACATTTTCAATAATATCAGTCAAGGTAGGGTCAATAGTGTCTTCCAGTAATTGCAAATACATTTGGCCAGTCAAATTACCAGGTAGAAAAAAAAGGACCAACCAGCCAGTCACCGCAAATTCGAGTCCATACATTTAATTTTTCCGGTTGCTGTGTATGCACCTAGTGAAAAACTCTTGGGTTTGAATCGGACCAATAGCGGCAATTGTGATGATATACCGTCCGGTTCAAGAAAAAACTGCTTTCATCAGAAAAACAGATGTTAAAAAGGAACTGTGGATCGTTCCCTTTTCGTCGCTCATTATTTCGCAAAATTGCAAACGGCGGTCATAATCATCCTCATGAAGTTCCTGGATTAAATGTATTTTGTATGGATGGAATTTATTCTTCTTCAAAATGGTTTGTATGCTAGTTCGATTGATCCCAGACACAGATGCCAGCTGCCTCATACTTAATGTAGGATCAAGATGAACTTGTCCCAAAACTGCAACTTCACTAGCTTCATTAACTATAGGTTTTTCAATTTCTCGTTTTTTATTGGCTCTGTCTCTTGAAATTTTTTTACTAACTCTAGAACACACTTCCTCCTGACATGTCGATCTTGATGTTGTTCATTAAATAGCTGAGCTGTTCTATACGCACATTTATTGTTCATAAAGTAAAGCGAAATGATATCTACCCTTTCCGCAATGGAATAAACCATAGTGTTTAATTTTCAAAAACACAATTAAGTAAACTACCAACCAACGCTTCCAAAAATAATACTAGAAAATAATTTGGAATCCACTAATTTTATGTTCATTGTGTGTGTATAGCATTAATTTCTGTTTTTTACAATTGTGTTTTTTACGAAAGTGTTAACAAATCGCCAAAAATCAATGTAACGCAAGAAATACTAAATTTATACCAAGTGGCTGAATAAAAAATACCAGCAAATAATGTCCCCCTTTAATCTAAAATCGACGGGTCTGAGCGTTTTTCTACAATCTTGACGCAATTCCTGAAATTCCTCTGTTTCGTTTTCATTTGGACATTTGAAGTAGATACCTAATAGCTTAACAACTACAAAATTTCCAGAATGTTTTTCAGAAAATATAATTTCAATTTCATCCTGATAAATTTAATTACGCTTAGGTTTTAGAATAGTTAATATTACTTTAGAAAACGTTACATGAATCAGGATATGTCAGTTGAGTAATTCAGAAAATAGAAATGGTATTTCAGATAACTGTTTTTCCGAAAACAATATTCAGAAAAAGGTTTTAATATTTGGTGTCGTATACATAAAAATGATCTGAATAGTTTTTCTACTGCCTTATTTTTTTGTCTTTCTATTCAGTTTTAGAACATTATTTTGCAAATTCGAAGAATTCGTTTGTCTGCTTTTCCGCTAAATTTACAACACAAGTCTATAAATACATTTATTAAGAAAAAATATTATAAAGGCTGTTTTATAGTACCCTAACCCTGTTCTAGACAAAAGATGTTTATTTCAAGGAAGCTGATATTTATTTCTATATTTTCTCATAAGGTTATATAAATGATTAAATCGTCTTTTGTTTACTTAATCTTTCAGTCAAAACGCTGTAGGTAAAATTAGATTGAGGACTGAGCTTTGTCTCCACGAGAATGGACGACACATTGAAGTATTTATGTAGGATTTGTAAAATATTTCTGTATTTTGATTTATTGAGTAGGTATTTATTTTTGTTTTACGTCAATAACAAATAGATTTTATTCATTTTTTAATTATAAATTATTGAATTTCTTTAATTTTGTGGGTTATTCTTCAAATAACACACACACTGACGTGTTTTTAATTTTATCCTCTATCTGTTACTGTCAAGATCTAGTATGGCGCCCATAAGAAAAAAAAACAAATGAATGTTGCATAACTGAAACTAGAGGCCGTAGAAATTTTCTTTCGACGAAAATGGATTGCTCGTATCTTCTTATCGCCCAGTACCAAACAATTCTTTCTGTTGTGAAATAAGGATGCTAGATGGCATTCTCTAAAATCGCTATTTTCAGTTTTTTCACAATATTTCAGGAACGGCAGCAGATATCTTTGATCTGTTTGAACTATTTTCTAATTTGAACCATCCTGTATATCTTACGGTTTCCCAGATGCCAAAGAAGAGCCATGAAAAACGGACCACCCTGATTTTTTTCCGAAATACTTACATTTAATTTTGTGAAATAATTTTAACTACCCTGAAATAGAAACAATTGGAACATCTGAAATGCATCTGGAAGAGGTGTAGCGCATTTTACACAACAGTAACGACGTATAGAATATTATATTTGTCAGCAAAATATTTCTAAATTGTAAAACTAGGCCAAAATCAAATACATTATTTTTGTTGTTCACTAAATAATTTAAGAACGGTAGATAACTGTTAATTTGAAACAGCATTTTTTAAATAGATAATATTATTGAAAATATACGTAAAATTACCAACTGTTAAATAATCTAACAGCAAAAAACCAATTTACTACAATTACTCTAGACTTTACGGTGTAGTTAACCATTCAAATATAATTTGTTATAGACATAAAACTGTAGTACCTACCATAAAATCATAGAGCACTTTTTCAAGGTCTAGAGCGAGCGATGGATTATAAATTATTCATGGCTTATTTTTAAGAATTAAACAAGTAAAACGGGACATTTTATTTTTAGTCAACTTAAAACTTGTAGGACAAGAATACAACATATTGTTTCTATTTTGAAAAACTTATCATTTATCTAGTAATGCTAGAGGCAATAACTAAATTAATTAAATAGTAATTAATTTTTCCGGTTATTACAATTCATTCTCGGTAGTTTCATTTAATAATTAAATAGCTTTATTTTTATTTCTTGATTTGCGATGCATGTCAAATTTATTCCTTTGTAGTTCGATTTCTAACTAACTGATAATTAAATTTAATTGTAATGTTGTCAGTATCATTATTTATGCAACAGAAACTCAATGGAAGATTTAACCGTTTGTTAAGCAGCTCAACGCGATTAAGATAATGGCCCTGTTGATTTACATGTGTAACACAGTAACGAAATCATCAGCGAGGAAGTAATTAAGTAGAAATTGCTTTATACCAGGGCATTTTTTTAGTAAAACGCTAAAATAACCCTTAAAATAGAGAGAAACGGTAAAGTTTTATAATTAGAAGCAA